GCAACAGTGCCAAGCGGAGTCTATCAGGGTTATTCACTTAAGGGTGAAAGGTTTGGAGAAGGCAGGAGAAGTGAACAATCTAGGACAAAAATTCTCCAATTCAGCTCACTTTCCAGTTCAGCTATGTTGTCCTAGATTGTTCTCTGCCTTCTCCAAACTCTTCCCCCCCTTTGGTGAATAACCCTGTATAATCCATTCTTGTTGAAAGCCTAAAGACGAAGGTATAATAAAGAAGCCAATGACTGATAATTGACCACTTTTAAGTGGTAAGAACACCTTGAGGCTCCATATTCCAACCCTCTGGAAATTCCTGAAAAGCTCTGAAACTTTAAAGGATTTCTAGAAGAGTTTTGATTGAAGCTCTTTGGTCAACATCAGTGATGTGAATTATCACAAAGTGTTTAATACTCTATAATACCAAAAACTACTTCTTATTGGTTGCTTGGTTTTTGGTTTCCACCTGTCTTTTTAAAAGTAATAGACCCAAAGTAAAAGTGTTTTTTATTTTTAAAAAATAAAAATTTTTATTCTCAAAACCCAAAAATGTCAGTCCTTGCTGTGCAATGGCCAGGTTATTGCCAAGCTTGACATGTTCAAATTTGGTAGGTAAATAGAAATTGTTTGTCGATAAATCCTTGCCACTGGTTAAACCGAAGGCATATGTTTTTGTTTAGGAAACTCTACCTTTTCCGAAGTTTCAATAGATCATTAACCAGCAAGAATCTCTTAATGCGTTTCCAATTATCCCCGATCCTAACCGTGTTAATGCCTCCATTTACAAAAAAAACCTAGCGGTTCCCTTTTAAAGAACACCATTAGGAGTCAATGTTTTAAGGCTTAAGAAGCCAACATACTCGCCAACGCAGTGAATCGCTGCACGCATTCGATCTCTGCACGGCGTGAAAAGAGGAAGATTGCAGTGCCTACATTAGATGCTTTTTCTTCCTTTTTTTTTTTAAATGCAGTTTCATAAGACTATTAAAAAAATCCTTTTTTATGTCCTTAATTTTTTTCTTAATTGTATCCATTTGCAAGTGAAATCTATACCCCCCTCCCAAGAATCTGTTTATATCCGTATGTGCGGTTCTGGATGGGAGCTCGGCAATCCGGTTGCTAGGTGACTCGTTGCCTACACAGCCTGGTGAGCGGAGCTGTGCAAAAGAAAGCCGTGTGAGCCTGAGAAAGTTGAGTCTATTGCATGCCTCATCTATGACCCCCCCTGCCCTGTATATATAGATGTTCTTAAATTTAAGTTACAGAGCATAGAGAGCGCAGTTGATGCACAGTTTGCACAGCGCGCTGCTGCCTCACTCCTGAATTGGCATAATTGCTGTGTGTTGGCAGATGGAAGAGAGATCTATGTAATCATTCCCTCTCACTAGAGAGAAAATTGTGATGACACGGATACAATGACACTCAAGGTTATCGGCCTATGTTGGCCATGTCAGCTGTTCCAAACGTGTTCCGCACTTGTTTTGCCATTTTATTTATTGTGTCAGGAATAAATACAGTCAATGTGGAAGTTTTCATAGAGAGGAGCTAGAGTGTATATTTCACAAGCGCATATTTTATTGTAAAGGATGCGAGTCATTTTTGATCTTTTTTACATATACATGCTTGCTGTTTTATATTTTATTCTATTAGGATTTGTTTACATCATAATGCACCTTCGTTAAAGTGATATTAAAGTCCAAATGTTTTTAAGCTATTTTTAAATGGTGATTAAATCGCTTTCAGTGAATGCTGTTCCTTGAGGTTTAAAAGTTTTAGTTTGCTGCAGAATCAGCTGGCCCCCTGAACACTGGCCTTGATGTCCTATGGAGCCACCCTTGTATGCGCTAGTAAGTTGTGTGTGATTCCACAGCAGGCAAGCCACTTCTCTGCTCCCTGCACCAGATCCTCCCTTCTCCAAGCTAGTAGTGGATGGACGGTTTCTTGAGACTACTCTGTCCCTTGTGATCTTGTACTGGACAAGATGTACTGGGAAGCCGAGTTGAAAGAGTTGGAGCCAACTGTTTGGAAACACAATGACTGTCAGTGCTTGGGCAAAAGTTCAAAGAGATACTTTTTGCTGGGCGATAAATAATTGTTTAATGTGGATACATTTAAAAAAAAAAGAGAGAGTAATACTACAATTGCCCTCCAGTGCACATCTACAGTGCACAGCAACACCCATGCATTGAAAGCACACCGCGACACACCCATACATGTGCTCTGTGCATTGCATTCTGCTCCGGTTAAAAAAAAAAATGCAGGCCCCTTTTATTGCATTGAGGTTGTTGGGAGAGCCTATTCATTTTAAATAGGCTGCCTAACACCACATGACTCAATGCATGAAAACACATGCCTTGCAGCGCACTATGTTATGGTGTGAATGGACCCTTATAGATTTGCTAATTATTTTCTCTAGTGGTTGTCTGTATTTTACAGCAATCTTTCAGCCCTTACCCTGAGCAGCAACTGCTGGGATAAGGTTCAACATGGAGATCTTGGACTACAAATCCCAGCAATACATTATACAGCAAAACAAAATAACATGAAGCTACTACATACTCTTTGTTGTTCCGGGGTGGCGCCCTGATGTCCCCAGGCTCCCATCTGGGCTGTGCAGGCTTTCAGGAGTGCTGTGTGGGAAGTGCAGTGGTGTCACCTGGGGTCCAGAGGCGGGCAGTGTGCTGAGAGGAAGGAGCTGGAGGAGGAAACATGTGGGCTGTTGTTGAATTTCATTTTTCTATAGAGCTTGGTTCCCCCTGCCACACCCAGACACGAGACTCAAAAACCAGACTGTCCGGGTAAATCCCAGACGGGTGGCAACCCTAAGAAGATAATTGTTTTTCAGACTGTCAGACCTAGCTGGTGGACTTGCATTGAGACGGGGGAGCACTGTTCTTGGAAGCATTAATGGGCATAAAGTAGAAGAAATGAAAGTCTGAAGAAAAGAAATGTCTGCCCCCACTAGAGAGACATGTAGATTTTCCAGCTGCTTAAGGAGCTGGGCATATGCTTGAATCCTATAGACAGAACATCTGGTGAAAAGGGCCAAGGGAAAATGCTTTACATTGTTAGTTTGTCATATTTATATTATATAGTTTAGAATATGAGCAATTTGTTTTGTTCTCTATATACTGTGCATGATTCTCCTTTTTTTTTTTTCTTTAAAACTGTGCAAGTGAATAAAGTTCAAGAAACAGGATATTGTGGTTTGTAGTGTTGGGAGGGTTTATGTATATATGTGTGCACTTTGGATGATGTTGCCTAGCTGTAAAGTGTTGTTGGTAATTATTATATCCTGTGGGTTTGAATAATGATAAAGTAATTATTGTGCCAAAAAATAGATGCTTTGAAACTGATGATATGCAACATGGCCAAGTATACTGTATGTACACCCCTTTCAAATTATTAAATTAAGGGGTTTCCAGAGAAGGTTACTGCTAATGCTACAGCATACAAAAACAATTTTGGACAATTGTGCCCTTCGAACCTTGTAGCAAGTTTGGAGAAGGCCTTTTGTGTTCCAGCATGACTGTTTCTTGTGCACAAAGCTAGCTAGATGAAGACATGATTTAATGCGTTTGGTGTGGAGGAACTCGAGTGGCCTGCACAGAGCCCTGACCTCAAAACTATTGGAAACCTTTAGCATGAATTGGAATGCACATTGTGAACCAGGTCTTCTCATCTAATATCAGTGCCTGACCACTGATAATTGGGTACACATTCCCACAATCTTGTAGCAAGTCTACCCAGAAGAGTAGAGTTTCTTGCTGCAAAGGGCCATCAAACTCCAGTTTGATGGCCATAATTAGTGTTGAGCCTGGGCTTGGTATGAGCCAAGTTTATCTGAGTTCACCCAAGCCAGCTCAAAACTGTGACTAGCACCCCCTCCTCCTCCCCCAGTCACTGGCATTGTGGCGCATTTCCCACCCCACAGTTATGTCACAAGGGCCGGGAAATGCCCCTATTGCAACTGCTACCATTGATTGGGTTGGGAGGGGAGTAACGGTCACAGTTTTGAGTGCACTTGGGGAAATTTAGGCGACCCGGGTTCGCATCAACCCAGGCTCATCTCCATACATGATTTGGATTGGTATGTCCAACAAGCTCACATAGGTGTGTTGGTGTGGTATACACAAACTTTTGGTCCTATAGTGTATATCATGGCTAAACAAATGATGATAAATAGATATAATACAGCAGTAAAAGATGTGTTTACTACCAAACAAACCAACAGATGCAGCACAGTTGCCCATAGTGGCTGCTAATCAGTCACCTTTTATTGTTCTGGCGGTTTTAGGCACTTTCTTTCTTTTCACTTCTATAAAATAAAGGTCTACCATGTTTTCTTTTCTGTTTCTTTGCCAAGTAAACAGGTCTGTAAATTTCAAATTTTTACAAAGAACCTGCCAAAACTTTTATTACTGAGAAAACATGGTCTCCTAACCAGAGTTGTAGGCTGCTATTGGTCTGCATGCTACTGTGCGCCAGTCGGGGACTTGCACCTCTACTACAACAGCAGCCTCCAGTGCTGGAAAGGAGCCTTCACAGAGCCTGGAAAGTAAGGCAGGTTCCTTTTTAAACATGTCAAATGTGTTTAGAAAGGAACAGTTTTGGGCCTATTCAATCAAATAATGTGTTTAGCAATGATGTGCAGTGACTTAGACCAATTAATCCGCTATTAGCTACTTAGTAAGTGCAGGGTAATGAAAGCTGACTTGGTTGCTGTAGGTAACTGCAAGCTATTCCTGTCTCGACTGCTAAAGAAACCCTTTTGTTGAATTCTGTTTATATTGGTTATTACACCGGTCACCAGCTGAAGTGTTAATGAAGTAAAAGCTTTACCGGTCTGTGCATGTGCTCACCATGTGTGTGTATAGGGATTAGTCACGACTGCTGTCTTTAGTCGTCTCCTGTTATCGGCCATTCAGCATGTTGGCGAGCCCAGCTCTGGAAAGTGACAAGCACGCTGCCTGCCGAATGCTTATGTAACATCAATCTTTTTGCAGAGCTCCGAACACGTTGCTGCATTTTGTCGCAGCCTCAATGAGATGAACTTGCCAGACTCCTGCCTAAGCCCCTCTGAATTCACAGGAACCCCGTTGGGCACCATGAAGCAATTAACAGATGCCGACAAACTGCGTAAGGTGATTTGCGAGCTGCTGGAGACGGAGCGCACCTATGTCAAGGTATTTCACACTTTGCTCGTCCGTTCGGTGGTGTCTATGTCCGATTATCCAGAGACTTGTAGCTATGATTGTGTGCCTGGTATCCATTCAAGAGGCGATAATGAATGATTTAACGCTTGCTGTGTGAGTTGTCTGATAAACAGAGAGTATGTGAATAGATTTATCTCCGCGCGAGCTGTGATTCCTCCAGTCTTGATCGATTTGTTTGTATTTCTTTAGGATCTGAATTGCCTAATGGAAAGGTATCTAAAACCACTACAGAAAGAGACGTTTCTCACACAAGACGAGGTATAGTCAGCCGTGTATAACAAATTGACTTTTAATTATTTCCAAATTAATTACACTGTCTGATGGAATAAATTGCTAGGTTGATGTCACCCAACTAATACAATGTGATATTTCTTTATACTACAGTAATCAAACTAGTGTATTCGTCTGTGTTAATCCCAAACGATCCATTTCTTCCTTTCCATCTTTCCTTCCGTGCGGCTCCTATATCTTCTGTCACCTTGTGTCCATTTTCACCTCTTACCCTCCTGCGTATCACATACTTGCCCTGTCCCCTATATCCCCCATGCTCGCAATGATGCAATCGTATTCTCTTTCCCTCTCTTAAATAGTAACTGTATTATAAAGACAAATTTAAAAAAAGTTTAATTTTAACAATCTTTTTCATTCTTTGC